AGTAGTCTACACAGTGCTTGACCTTGTAACGAGCTTACTCTCTAAAAATGAATTAGTCAAAAATGACTAATTGTCATAGGAAAAAAGAAGCCACTAATAATTATCGTCAACAGAAACTTGTATCCCGGACAATTAGCAGTCAACTCCTATGTAAAATTGTTCGCTGAATCCGAAAATGAAGTCAAAAGTTGAGTGATCAATGGTAGAACAGTTTTTCAGATATAGTCCGGGATACAAATTTCTGTGGACTAGTTATTAAATTTAAAGATTATAATTTGGCCTGCGATGAATTTTATAAAGTTATTTATGATATTTTTAATTTATTTGTTCCCAAATTTAATTTCAGAGTTAATTTATCGGTTAAATACCCGAATTGGTATACACCTGATATTATTAATAGCATTAAACTAAAAAATAAATAACATACAAAATTTAAGAAATTTCAAAATGAAAATGATCTTTTAATGTTTTAGAACCTTTGAAGATCTATAAAATCTAGTATTAGAGATGCGTACAAAAACTATATAAACAAAATCGAAACAAACATCTCAAATAACCCCCAAAAACTTCTGGTCTTTTATTAACTCTACAAAAGGTCATACAAGAATTCCAGGCAAATTATATGATGAAACTGGTCAATGTTTTGATTCCCCAGATACTATCGTCAATGCTTTTAAAAAGTGTTTACTTGCCGACAAATAACACTAATAAGATTAATAATAAAAATGCTTATACTTCTAATATTTAAAAAAAAATTATTAAATAAATGAACTAAACAAAAATGATATAACTCAGGCAAAAAAAAACTTAAAAATAAAGAAACATCGGGTGATGAACAGATTCCTTCTTATTTAATCAAAGACCGCTTACAAATATTTTGCAAGCCACTGTTATATTTGTTTAATCTATCCTTAAATACATTAACCTTTCCAGATATGTGGAAGGTAGCCCGATTATGTCCAATATTTAAGAATGGTGATAATAGTTTAATTAATAATTACCGACCTATAGCTATTTTATCAAATTTTTCAAAGGTTTTTGAGTTGGCTATATATATGCGTATCTTCTCATCAGTCAAAAACTCTATTTCTCTTCACCAACATGGTTTTATGGAAAACCGTTCAACGGTATCGAATTTGACTTATTTTACCCAATTTACCTCTGAAGTACTGGATAATCGTGGGCAGGTAGATGCCATATATACAGATTTTTCAAAGGCTTTTGATCGAATATGTCATCCTATTATTATTTCTAAGCTTGAGTTATTTGGTTTTTCGGAAGCACTTCAGAACTTTTTTACATCCTATTTAAGTAATAGATACCAGTATGTTTCCTATAGTGGTTTTAAGAGTTTAAAGTTTTTATCAACTTCTGGTGTACCACAAGGTTCTAATCTAGGTTCTCTTCTTTTTACAATTTTCATAAATAACATAAGCGACGATATTGTTTGTGAAAGGCTTTTGTTTGCGAATGATTTGAAAATATTTAAAGAAATACGCAGTGTTAATGACTGTAAGGCCCTTCAAAATGATTTGTGTAAGATTAAATACTAGTGCAGGAAAAAACAGTTGGGTCTTAATGAAAACAAGTGTAAAGTAGTCACATATACTAAAAAAAAGAGAAAAACAGTCTTTGATTACACCCTAAACCTAAGTTTACTTTTCCGTGTCACGGCCAGTAAAGACCTGGGAGTATTATTTGATAGCGAATTAAATTTTCTTAACCACAATAATAGCATAATAACATCTGCCAACAGAACCCTTGGTTTTATAATTGGAAATACCAAAATCTTTAAATGTCAAATTTTGTTTAAAACTCTTTATTATTCATTTGTACCCTCTAAGCTTGAGTATGGTTTTCTAATTTGGAATTCAATATAGCTATTTTATCAAATTTTAAAGGTACTAATATAAGTAGAAAATTCAACGAAGGTTTTTAAAATTCCTCTCTTTTAAACAAAACGGTGCATATCCAGATCAGGGTTATGATCACTTAACTCTTTTGAATAAATTCGGGTTTAGTTCCCTGCAGTTAAGGAGAGCCATGTTAAGTGTAAAATGTTTGTACAATTTGGTACATAACAAAATTGACGCTCCCCTACTATTAAATCAAATAAATTATTTAATACCAAGAAATACTCGTACCAACCTTACATTTTACTGCCCCAACGCTAGGTCGAATATTATTCTTAAAATTTTAATATATACTGCAATAAATGTGACATTAACTTCAATAGTATTGGTTTTATAATTGATAACTTATGTAAAAAATGTTTAGTCTAATCTTGTTATACCTCTTTTTGTATATATATTTTTTAATAATATTAGGACTAATTTATTGTATATAATTGTTCTGTAAACGGATTTTATATATCTATTGGACAATAAACGTTATTATTATTATTACGTTATTATTAGTGACTGTTTTTTAACTTTGAAAACTAGTAATTTTTGACTAATTTATTTTTAGAGAGTACGTCACTAAAAACCAGTTGTATTTTTTGGGATTTTGTTTGTTTGGTACACAGAAAAAACGCTAGGTAGCATACATTTTTAATTACATATTACCAGTTTGTCGCAAAATATATATATTTTTTAAATTTTAGTGCTTAGAATTAAAATACTTAATGTACGAGTATTATATTTAAATATAAAAGGAACGGGCCTGCGTATAGCAACGGCTCGGCGAACCCGGAGGGGCTACTACAAACTATTGGCATGTCGCTTTCGAGACCCAAATAGAGTACAGCAGAGACAAGGGAGAGAGAGAGACGAACGATTCCCATAGAAACATTGGAAACAATAAATATGACGCCCTCGCCGGGGGCTGCGACAACTAACGCTATATAAATTTTGCGCGGTATTTTTAAATATTTAATTTTTGTTTGCTACAATTGAATCGGTTAGATTAAGAACTGTACAAGTCTAAAAAATTTGACAAATTATTTTATAGTCAGTTTTATAGTTCAAAATGCATTTTTGTGAAAATATTTTAACTATGTACTTTATAAAATATAATAATCATATTTTATATAAAATAATATAAATCTTCTAACAAAAATTCATTTTAAAGTTTTAAATTGATTTTAGAAAATAATTTGTCAAAATAAATATTTTGGACTTGAACTGTTCTCACCGATTCAATTACAAAGTAGGATCTTTGGTAGATATTATGTTTAAAAAAAAATAAAAATAGCATTAAAATTAAAATTATTTTATTTACAACTTGTAAACAAATAAAAAAAACAGGGACAAAAATAACATTGAACACAAATAATTTATAAACAAAAATAGAAAGAAAAATAATGTAAAAATATCAAAATATTAATTATATTAAAATATGAAATAAACATACACGAAAATATTTTAAAGCAAAAACTTAATTAACAACACAAAAAAATAATTTTATCACACATACCTACATATTTTAATTTACTTACTTTGACCTTAAATAATGTCATTTAACAACAATTGACAATCTGCTAAATATAACGAGGTATAATAACTTATAAATAAAACTTATAAACAAAACCACAGAAGCACTTTTAGTATTTACTGACATCAGACTGACAGACGACAGAAAATGACAGTAAAGAACATAATTGCGACTTTTCAGTGGGGGCCGAGGATGGCGCAGTGGGTTAAAGCTACAGAGCGGTAATCAATCTGCGCCACGGTACCGGGTTCGATTCCCGGTCACAGCCTTGGGTGTTGTGTTTTTAAGAGCACAAAAATATACAATAATGAGCTGGCTAAATAGTCGAAAAGACTAAAAGCCAATAAACCTTATAAAAAAAAAGACTTTTCAGTGCAGGGCTGCCAACAAATGCGCAGAAACCGATTTACATTGAAATCTGTGTGCAGCCCTGCGCATCTAAATTGTTGACTGAAATTCCTATTTAAAGAATCGTCTCTCTCTCCCTTGTCTCTGGAGTACAGTACTGGACGCGGTAAACATCCAACCCAGAAAATACGGGTGAAGCCGTGCAGTTGCTGGTGATGAAAAAAAAGGCGTAGGGTATCCATTTGCGAAACTCGGGATTAATAAAATATTATCAATTAAATGATAATATTTTATAATAACAACTTTTAATATTTTTTCTAAAACCCTAATAGACTTTTTAACAAAACATTCCTAATAAAATAAATAATGAAATAATATATTAATAATAAGGTACTTTTGTTCTAAAACTTTTAAAATAGATAAGATAGATAAAGATAACAGTACATATATAGTAAAATGTTAAAATAATTTAAAATATATTTTTTTGACTTAATATCGTGTTCAAAAAATTAAATTTTTTAAATAAATATTACAAAAATATTATTTAACTAATGAATTGTTTAAATTCACCCAAGTAACCCAATTATATGGCATTGGAGGTTTATTATTATAATCCTTGAGAATGAAGGGCTCTGTCATCTCTATAGGCTTTTAAAAAAAGATCTAGTTTTCGAGTTTCTAATGTAATTTTATGGTGTGATGTAAGCTAATACTTCTTATTTTTGTATTTATTCAAGGGATATTTGATTAAAAATTTTATTCCTGCATAGTAAAAGTAAAAATAAACTATGCCATTTCTCAGGTAATAATAATTAATTTAATAATAACAAATTTTGCCAATTTTGTTTTTATGCAAAAGATTTATGTATCACCATTATCTCCTGATAAGGATTTTCCCAAGTTTCAAACTTGTCATTACAAGAAAAAAGCAGTATTCAAGTGCACTTCTTTAAGGATGAGAGAAATTCAGAGATGCATTTTATGAAACCATTGACAAGCTTACACAAGACTTCAAAATATTGCACTGCTTCAGTCTATTAGCGGCAAAACATATTAAGTGCATTGTTAAGTTAGAAACGCTTTAAAAATAAATATTTTCGTTTGACAGCCTATATTTCTAAAATCTGTAGGCATATCGAAACACAGAGTAAGATCCGTTATGATCCATTTTTTTTACAATCGATGAAGCACATAATATGTTATTATGAAAAGAAGAGATGGCGATAAAAAATCATCTGAATATACGGATAAAAGAAAAGGCTGTTAGGAAGTTTATTAACAAGCTTAAATGCAAGACACACTACCCTCGTGAGTCTTCTAGAATGTACTTATCTTTAGACCTGTACATCAAAAAGCTTTATAAAATATATTGTGGTAAAGCGACAGAAAAATAAAATGTTAAAGAATCCTATTTTCGTCATATTTTTAACACTATTTATAACTAAAGTTTCAATTTCCCTTGCACAGATGTTTGCTTAACTTGCCTAGAGTACTGTAAAAAAAAATGTGAAGAAGACGTCAAAAGTCGAAATTGGCTAAATACTGAACAAAAGATTATAAATCAAGGGCTGCGGCTTTTTCCATTGTCACAAAGTGTCACAAATTATGAGAGCCCCCCTCCTCATTGGCGTCACGTCACACTGATTTAATTTTTAACGACTACCCTACGAAATTTTTGCTTAAAAAAATTTTAATAGCCTGTTTATAAACATTAATTAAATTCCAAAAAATTGGTATACTTCACCTTATTTAACCTAAATTAATTTTCATAAAAGAATGTCAAAAGTCAGCGCGCGTCAGGGTTACTCGATTAACAGAGTAGATCTACTTCCAAGTTCCGTTAACACAAAGTTGGCTACACGGAATATCGGTGTTGAAACAACCCTTTCATTTTTTGTTTATGCCAATTGGTATATTTTTGTACCATCCTGAAGATTTTATGTTGTCCCAAGTAATGTTTACTGTTAAAAATAGCCTGTCGGTAGTAATATTTTCGTTTCGCTTGCGCTGGATTATATTCAAATCTTCCACTTATTAAACCAGCATTGTCGCATTCTTTTTTAAAATAATATACTAAACATTTCTTTGCTTCTCCTCCACGCCATGCCAATTCATTTGAAGCAATATAATAGATAAGTTCTTCTTTTGTTAAAGTTACCGAACTTTGTTTTTTTCAGGTTCCTTTTGTAATATTTTACGCTTTGTATTTCTTGTATCTCGTGCACATTTAAATTCCACGTCCTTAAAGGGGTCAAATATTCTGTTAAATTCGTTATAATAAAATTCTTGCATTAATTTGGCGGTTTTATTCAACATAATTTTTATAACCAATTCTTTATAATCTGTTCCATCACACCGTTTCTTATATCCCCAATCTTTCAAAATGTATGCCAGTTTTGTAATTGGTGTAGTTTCTTCAAGGATGTACCCTTTTTCACTACAAAACGTTTGAAATTGTTTCCAAATTGATTTATTGCTGGTTTGAGTATTTTTTTATGTATTTTTTCTAATTTGCGCCAATATTTTATCCAGGGCGTGCAACTCAACGGTATAGAATTTTTTCTTATGGTTACAGACTGTAACAGTAACTTTCTTTACAGTTACCTTCTTTGTAGTGAGCTTATGTTCTGTCATAGAACTTCTGTGTAGTGAGTGTCACTCAGTAAAACACAGTTTATTGCATAGAAATAGTTTATTGTGGGTATGTTCTGTGTTTGGGTATGCGGCTAAACAAAATTATAACTTAAACTTTTAATGATTTTTTTTTACCTAAAATGCTGTGTTTTTTTAACCTAAAATGCTTTTTTTTAGTACCTTTTTGGTTACCTATTTTTCAGTTTTTAGTACCTAAATATCCCATCCCTAGTAATAAGTAATAATTGATATTTCGTAAACTAGATAACTTATTTTTTATTGTTTTTTAAAAAATGTTTGTTATAACTTGTAAATAACACCATAAAATCTTAAACAAAAATCCAATATGGAGGCTAAAATTTAATCGCTGTTAAATAGTTCTAGTGATTTAATCGCTTATTTAAACGAAATTTATTCGAAAATTCAAGGCTTTTGATTGGTTCATATTATAATGAGGAAAATAATCATATATTATATCACGAGAACTATGAATTTAATCGGTTAAACTAGGCTCAGTAGTTTTTTGTTTGATTTTTCTTGGAAAATGTTGAATGCAAAATAATTTAATAAAATCACGAGACCGCGTAGCGGTCGAGGGGTTTTATTTTTAATTATTTTGCATGAAACTATTTTCCAAAAGAAAAATCAAATAAAAAACTTACTGAGCATAGTTTGACAGATCAAATTTATAGGTTGAGTGATATACATCTAGATTATTTCTCGAATTAAAGGAAACTATTTGACAATTCATAAAATCTGACGTATGTGTCAAAATTTATATATATATTTTTAAAGAAAATTCCATTAATTTAAGGTATGTAATAAGTATTAATTGATATTTCGTAAACTAGATAACTTATTTTTTATTGTTTTTTGAAAAATGTTTGTTAAAACTTGTAAATAACACCATAAAATCGTAAACAAAAATCCAATATGGAGGCTAAAATTTAATCTCTGTTAAATAGATCTAGTGATTTAATTGCTTATTTAAACGAAATTTATTCGAAAATTCAAGGCTTTTGATTGGTTCATATTATAATGAGGGAAATAATCACTGAATTTTTTTTTGATTTTTATTAACTCAAGATTTTTCATTGGAAATTTTGCTCGTGACATTAATTTAAAACCACTCACCTAGCGGCTCGTGGTCTTAAAAATTAATGCCACTTTCCAATAAAAAAAACATTCGTATAAAAATCAATTTTTTTTTAAGAAATTCAAAATGTTTTTTGCTAATTTTTTTTATTCAGTATATGTAATTGAGGATATTATTTTAATTAAAATAAAAAGAATATGAATGTTGGCACAACAGGTGAAATATATTATCTTACAAATTATAATATACCAGTATACAGTGTGTCCCGGATCGGATGGCCGAAAGGAAAAACTTTTTTAGACCTGATACAGCTAAACCCAGCACGGATTTGGAATCTACGACCAACAATTATGTTTACGTGTCCGAGAGTTTATCTGTGATATTTCAAGAGTTAAAAATTTACCTACAGTGTTATAATATTGTGACAGCGTCAATTGAAATCACGCAAAATTATGCCCTCTTTTGGTTCAAAACAGGTTTATAAATTTAACTGAATTTCTTTTAATGATAAAGTTATTTTAGTTTTTATTTATTTTCATAATTAATTATAATTCAAAACTTTTTTTGATCCTATTTTCTCCCAGATAATTTTTTTCGTATTTATAACGGTACTAAATGGCAGTTTAAGAAATTAAATGCACAACTTTTTCAATTTGATAATAATTATTGAAAAATAGTAAAATGGGCTCACCCTAGGCAATATCCACTCTTTGGGATCAAAATTGACTATATGCAATTTTAATTATGAAATTACGCAAAATGGGATATATCTTGATTTTAAATTCTCAGTACACCTGTAACAGGTGACCTGTTAAATTATGTGCAATAATTTTTAGTTAAAACTACGAGAATGAATATTGCCCTGATTCTAGACCCCTCATTTACTTAATTTTGTCACCATATGAAATTAACCAATTTAATTTAAAAAGGTAGCAATAAACAAAACAGCAAAATTTCTCTAGCACAACTGTTACGTAACCATATCAACTACAACATAATCTCATGAAATTCTCTAAACGTGTGATCGGGTAATTTTACACACAATATGTGTAAACTTTACTTAAATTACAATATTTGGCGTTTTACATAAAGGTCGTAGATATTTTTTTTAATACATGGATTTCTAATATAGGAGTAAATAATAGTATGATATGTAACAAGTTTGAGAGTTACTTTACTTTGAGTTTTACTTAGGCATGAGCGAAGCTTGCAGACGAGTGTTTAATAAACGAATGTCTAGAGAAGTTTATAAATGAGTTAAATACAATTGCTACAACGAACGAACACACACATCAAATATTTTTTAACTGTTCTAACTTTACTTAATAATCTTATTTTGACGATTGTATCACCTCTAACAACTGCGACTAACTTCAGCCCGTGACTAAAACGCTATAGTAACAGCTTGTCAATGTGTATTTAAAAGATTACTTAGCGTCATAAAAACATATACGAAATTCGTTAAGAAGTTCGGCAGTTCACTATAAAATTATAAAATAAATGCCAACACCAGTGAATTTCTATTTAAAATAGATAAAGGCCGTAGTATAACTCGATATCCAGGCAAAATGTAAATGTGTTTACATTTAAGCATATGTAAATTTTGAAACACGTGTCGTCAAAGTTTATTTGATTACTTTTAGGGGTCAATGCTAGTGTAACAGGTGTAGCATTTTCCACAAAAGCCAACTCGGCGCTGAGACAACAATTTTGTCGACCAACACTTTGCAAATAAATATTAAATTATAGTTTGAATGATACATACTCTGCATAGGTACATGTGTCAGAATAAATTTTAAATAAATAAAAACACACAAACAATTAGGTAAAATATTAATTTAACAAAACATATATAGGGTTTACCATTATAATTTGCATATTTTCCCACGGAAAAAGTTATTTTGAATTTACAGATACTTGTTGTATAGTTTGGTGACGTTAGATACCAATAAGGATAATATGTGCTAGGGGGTCGGCCGGTTTTTGAGTCTGAATCTATTATAATATAATAATTATTAAAATATTAGTTTTTGGCCATTTTAACTGCAAACCCAACTTCATCTCAACTTATTTTTTTAACAAAATTAGTGCTTTAACGCCCTTGTCAAGGCTTGTCAAAACAAAATGTTTGATTCAGTATACTATTGGGTTTCAACATAAACTATTACAAAAAAAATTGTCCCCAACCTTTTTAGATCAAATTCGTGCGCCGCACAGTGGTCCCGATTCCAAAAGCCGTTAAAGGTTTAGATTTTATTTGAACTTAAGTTAGTAATTACTATACTTTGATTTTTAAGGTCGCTGATTACAATTTTGAGAATGTATTTTAAAAATTCAAACTAGAAAATTCAAAATGGCCGACTTGAAATCGTTTGAAAATTTTAATTTTAAGATTTTCGAGTTTTTTTAGGAAATTATTAATTAAATTCCTAAATTTAAAATGGTTTATTAATAATGACCAAATTATTAAAAAAATTCTTTTATTCGGTTAAAAATGTAAAGTATTTCGACATCCCTTATTGCAGAAATTAATGAAAAAATGTCTACATTGCCTATTTGTGCATGTATAGTTTAAAAAATTATTAGATACGATTTAAATGTTTAATCGGATATTTTTGTCACAGAAAAAACATTTTTTATACATATAAATAATGTACATACCTGCAGCAGGGCCTATTTTACCTAAAGGCCCATAAGGCCCGGGCCTTGGGCCCGGAGGAAAATGGGGCCCGAAAAAAGCCCTTGAAAAAAAATTATAAACCATTTCAATTTAAATTTAAAATAAAGCCATACCTATTTTATAAAGAAAATTAAATATTAAATAAAAGTGGCTTAGATTGGTATAATAACGATATTGATATTATACCTATAAGTATAATTTTAGTTAGATTCAAAAACATAAAACATCGGCGGTCTCTTTTACGGCGTTTTTGTTTATGCCGCTATAAGTACCGACAAATCTTTTGCTAACGAATTACGAATGAAAAAGCTGCCGCTCAACGCAATCTTTATTACCGCCTAGTCCTAGTCGAAAGTATTATTGTGAATTTTATAATTTCTTTTTACAATTGCAATCGTCCGAACTCCGAAATTTAACTTAAGTTAAGTTATAATTATTAATTAATATATTATTTTTGTATATGTTACGGCTAATGTGCAAACTTAGTTTATAAACTAGCCAAACTGTCAGCTATTTTAATTGAAAATGTATTTTCAACTAAATTAGCGGCTAGTTTACAAAATAACCAAGGATCTTGGCTAATTTACTTGAAATTATTAGGGAAACTAAAATAGCTGGATAGTTTGTATAGTATACTATCCAATTCAATTTGGCTAATATGAAAACCAAAATTTCTAGTAACACAAAATAGCCAAGCTTTAGCTAGTTTGTAAACTAACCAACTAATTCTCTCAACGCACTGTTGGCATTCCTCAGAAAGGAACCAGAAAATCAATAAGATCTTTAAGAACCACCATCAAAAGATAAGGAAGTAAATGCTTCAACGAGCAATATTAGTGATACCATCGAGTTACAAGAACACCAACACGCAGACGATAATGGTAACGTTGTCGTAAGCGATTTATTGGAAATTGACAAAGAAACTTCTCAACAAAGTAAAGCCCCACCATTTCCTTGTGATCTAGCAGACTGGCCTCAAAATATAAGCTCGAAATTTCAAGAATATTTTCTTAAAAACAGACCTGAACAAAATATTGACAAAATAAGTGGGTGTTTAAAACAATTGGATGGTAAAAAATCTAGATGCTTACAAAGTTCAACATTCTATAAATTTAAAGAAAATGGCGAAAAAGCCCTTCGTGAGTGGTTGGTTTACAGTCCCAAATCTGGCTGTGTTTATTGTTATGTTTGCAAACTTTTTTCGAAAAAAGATCTCAAGCTTACTGCCGATGGGTACACTGACTTAAAAAAACACGAAAGGTCATCTGAACACATAACCTCCATCAGCAAAATGATTAATAGAAGTCGAATAGAGGGAAGGATAGATGCAGAAATCGAAAAAAGTTACTTGCAGGAACAAAACTACTGGAAAAATGTTTTAGTAAGAGTGCTTGCTACCATTAAGTTTTTATCAAAAAATGGTTTAGCATTTTATGGTTCCACGACTAAACTTTTTACAAAAGGGAATGTTAACTATTTAGGCTCGTTGGAATTTCTTAGTGAGTTTCACCCGTTTTTGGCCGGAATATGGTAACATTGGAAGTGGGCATATTAATTTTTTTTCTTCAACCATTTGCAATGAGTTTATTCACCTTCTTGCAAATGAGGTAAAAAATAATATTATCACAGAATTGCAAGTGGCAAAATACTTTTCCATTATCGTCGATTCAACGACTGATATTTCTCATATCGATCAATTAACTGTCATTATAAGATATGTTTTACCTAATGGTCATCCAGTAGAAAGGTTTTTAGGTTTTGTGGAAATAATTTCTCATACTGCAGAAAGTCTATCAAATGTTTTACAAACCAAATTAAGTGACCTTAATATCAATATCAATTACTGCAGAGGCCAAAGTTATGATAACGCATCCAATATGTCCGGAAAATATAACGGATTGCAGGCAAAAATAAAAGAAAAGACAAATAATGCACATTTTGTACCATGTTCCAGTCATTCTTTAAACTTGGTCGGTAATAGTGCTGCCGAAAGTTGTTTACAAGCTTCTGGATATTTTGAAAATGTACAATGCTTGTATAACTTTTTTTTGGCTTCGACGCACAGATGGAATGTCTCTCTGTTTTAAAAACTAAATTACCATTGCTTAAGAAAATATGTGATACAAGATGGTCAGCACGAGCTGATGCTATTAAATCTATTGCGCTTGGTTTTAGTGAAATAAAAGACGCGTTAGTAGAGCTAAATGAAGATACAAACCAAAAAAACTCTACCAGAACAGAAGCTGGAGATTTACTTAACAAAATGAATACATTTGAATTTGCTTTGATGACCTCAATTTGGAAAAAAATCCTAGACAGAATAAACTCCACAAGTAAATCTCTACAAAATAATCAAGCCAATCTAACTGCGACCTGTACACTTTATAGCGGATTGATCGAATTTGTCGAGAGTTTTAGAGAACAGTTTGATGAAATTGAAGAGGAATCCAAAAAAATTCAGCCAAATAATAATGCTTGTAAGGATGAAATTTCAAGAGTTTGTAAGAGGAACAAGTTCTTTGATGAAGGCCCTGCACAAGACATTACTTTAAGCGGTGCTGAAAACTTTAAAATAAATAGTTTTTTTCCTATATGTGACAAATTGATTTTTGAATTAAAAATGAGAATTCAAGCGTATGATTGTGTAAATGAAATTTTTGGTGTATTTTTTGTTGAACCCTCAAATGAAAGATTTAATGTAAGTATAAAAAACATAAAAAAAATATTACAATATGGATGTGGATGCTACTGAAGATTTAGTGGATGAAATTATACAATTTAAAGCACTTTGTAAATCAAATGATATTTCCTCTAAAGACCCACAGGAAATGTTAAAATTTTTAATTGATAACAATATTTTGTCAACCTTCTCTAACGTTGAGGTATTGTTCCGTATATATTTAACTATTCCTATTAGTAACGCATCTGGAGAGAGATCATTTTCTACGTTAAAACGGGTAAAAACCTATCTAAGAAACTCATTAAACGAAAAAAATGTTTCATCGTTGGCTATTCTAAACGTAGAAAGCGATATTCTAGAAAAATTAGAAATAAATGGTATCATAGATAAGTTTTCGGAAATGAAAATACGTAAAAAAAAATTAATTAGTTGTTTATTTTTATTAATTATTATTTATTTTGTTCGCTGTTCCTTAGAAGCTGAGTTATTTTTATTTTTTTTGTTGTGTTATTAATTTCAGTTAGAAATTTTGTTTAAGTATCGTTTAAATATATTTTTAGTTGTTTGTACCTACTAAATAATTAATAATGTATGTTTTTTTTAAATAAATATTTATTTATTTTTTTAGATTTATTATTAGAACAATTTTTTAATTGATTAAGTAAAAATTAAATTTTTTTATCATAAACCTGAAGGTGTCAAAGGTAAGTAGAAACATTCTTATTGAAAAGTTATATAGGATATTGATATGGGGGGCGAAGTTTTGCTTGGGCCTGTCTCGAAAATACCGGGACAAGTTAACCTAATCCCGGGATTAGTACCGATTTTTTATGCATATATAAATTAGCTTACTTACGGTATTTCAAAACTAAAGTTATTAACGCGAAAGCCGACAACGTTGCAACCTGCAACGTGAAAACATGACACACACTTAAACCGGAATTTGGGGAATCACCGCGGCACAATAATTATAATTTACTCGCTTAGATTGATTAGATGTTGTATTTATTATTCTATTGAACGACTTTCAAATTTGTTAGTTATTGTGTAAAATGGATCACGTGCCAAAAGGCTAACAATGAAAAAGGTAGGTAATGCATGATTTTAATTTTAATACTAAAATAATGTAAACGACCCCGCACAAAACTAATGGGAGTTTGGACTTCAATAAAAATGTCTGAATTTTAGATATGTTGTAGTTTATGATCTATTGATTAAAAGTTCTTCCGGTACTAAGAAAAAATATTGAACAGATTACACAGCCCCACAAAAAACTTTTTTTCTGTGCACCGGACCAGACCACATATCTTTACGTTTTTAAGGTCGCTGAATCCAAATACACCAAAACGAAAACAACTAAACGGAAAAAAGTTTTCTTTGTGGGGCTGTGCAATTATTTATATGCAAATAGAGCTGACTTTATAGGAGCAAATCGTGACCTTGTAAACTCAATATCTCGGAATCTGTTCATTATTTTTTCTTTGTGTCCATTAGTTTTGTGCGGGGTCCTTTATAATTTATTTATTTAGTTATTTAGAACATTTTTAGTAGTATTTTAATAAATTCCAAATAAAAAAACTTTATTATTAAATGCATACAGATTTAATGGCCTGTTTTACTAAATATGGTGTCTGTGTCAGTATCTTGCAAAAAGATTGAAACATATTTTTTTACAGATGCAGATATTTCAACTGTGGATTCTGGAATAAAAAGAACTGCCAATACTACTCTATATGTTCCACATAAGATAAAAGCAAATGAGAGGGATTCCGTATGGTTTTATTTTCTCACTGAAAAAGATATATCTACTATCCACTATAGTGGACAAACAGCAAAATGTAGGCGCTGTCAAGCAATCTTGAAAACAAAGAGAGGCTCAACCAAAGGTTTAATAACTCATTTAAAAGTCCATAAAATCGATCTTTTGGATAAACGTCTTAACGAATCGCCAGATGGCCAGAGTGCTGGGACAAGTAAAATGATCGAAGTTGTTGGTAATAATCCACCAAGCAAGTAAAAAAAATAATAGACATTCTTGTGTATAAGAATGATAAGAGTTTTGAAACTATTGTAGCTCGTATGACCGCATTAGATGGCTTACCGTTTTCTATTTTTATTAATTCATCCGATTTAAGACAGTTGTTGAAAGCAAGAGGTTTTCATGTTTCAAAATCTTGATATACCATAAAAACTAATGTAATGAGGTACTTTGAAAACATTCGGAACAACACACGAAGAAATTCACCAACTAAAAACAAACGGTGAGAAATTCAGTTTAACATTTGATGAGTGGACATCAACATCAAATAAACATTTTATGAGTATTAACGTTCACAAAGGGGAAAAGTTTTGAAATTTAGGACTTGTAAGATTAAAAAATTCTTTGACGGCTACAGCGATTTTGGAATATTTGCAAAAACGACTCCTGGCTTTCCAATTAAACCTGTCGAAAGATATTGTGGCTGTTACAACAGACGGAGCCAGCACTATGGTTAAAGTTGGCAAATTGATTACACTTATGCAACAGTTGTGCTTTGCACACGGTATTCAGCTGGCTGTCATCGATGTCCTCTATAAAAAAGATGGACCTGTGCCTCCTCCAACTTCTACAACATATTTCAAGGAGGATCCTAACTTTAGCGACAGCGGAGCCGAAATTGAGTACGAAGACTGCGAAGAAACTGGAAACATGGACATGAATTACAGGATAGAAGTGTCTGAAAACAATGACTTTTTAGAAATGTCGAATGATCATGACCTCTACATATTGATATCAAGAGTTAGTAAAACTATTCGCATGTTTAGAAAATCGCCAACAAAAAATTATTTACTACAAAAGCAAATTAGGAACGATCATGGGAAAGAATTAAAACTTATAATAGATTGTAAAACCAGATGGAGCAGCATGCTTGATATGCTTGACCGCTTTAACTTCTTAAAGAATTCCATAAAAAAAACCCTAATTGACCTAAACATGTTACCAATTTTGGAATGGCAAACTATTAAAAGCGTTGTAAAAGTGCTCCAGCCAATAAAATTAATAGTCGAAGCCTTATGCCGATGCGACATAGATTTATATAAAGCGGATGTTGCATTAAAATTCATGTTGAAAGAACTATCCAAAATTAAAATACCACTCAGCACAGATCTACAAGACTCGTTAAGAAAAAGGATTAAGCAACGCAGAACCATTTATTCTGATATTGTCAGCTTTCTCACAAATACCGACTCTTTAAACTCTGAACCAGATTGCTTCAAAACATCAAATATTTCTCTAATTAAATCTGAACTAGAAAAACTTTTAATCAGGCTAGACAATAAAGATGCATCCGAAAGAGAGACCAGCAACGACAGCGACGAGGATCAGATTTCCATTGCAGAAATTCTGAGGAGAGCCGAAAATGAACCATTAAAGGTTAAGCTGCAGAAGGCATTACAACAATGTTCAGAGCCAATGCAAAAGGAGACAAAAAATAGTAATAAGCCATTGCCTGACATAGTTACTAAAGAAATTAATTTATTTGCAAATGGTGGTACTCAATCTTCAAAAGGCCTTTGATTTTTTATTAACCATTCAGCCCACAAGCGTGGAATCTGAGAAATGTTTTTCTTCTGCAGGATTTTTATGTAACAAAATACGTTCGAGGCTGGGAGATGAAACTTTAGAGGCACTAATATTTTTGCGTTTTTTTTTTTTTAATTTATAAACCTTTAAGTTTGTTTAAGGGTTTATTTGTTAATTTTCCTTTTTTATAATAAAAGTTTTTGAATCTTATTTGATTTTTTTTTGAACATCCAATCCCGGGATTAAATTTCGGGATCTCGGGATTAGTAGTACAAATCTCGAAAATCCCGGGATTACGAAAACCTTTCGAGATTGACATCCCTACTACAGAAGTATCGTTCATCAAGATTAATCGAAAACTGCATTACCTTGAGTGCGCCTAATAATAAAGTGCGTATTTTCATGACGCGGCGTTCTCGAACATTGGTTACTTTACCCTCACGTGAAAGATCAGAGAAGAGATGCAGCTTACCGAATGTTTGGAATTACGTGTACTTTTGCCATCGGTATCAAACGAGACATTACTAAGTTTAAAATTCACACCTCATTTTTACAGACTTTTGGCTAGCTTTTATTTTAATTTAAGTAATTTTAATACTATAAATACTAAAACAAATTATTAAAATCTTAATATTTTATAATAATATTATGTATTAAATTAACATAAAAAGTTACCCTTAAAGCAAACACAAAAGAGAAAATTAATTTAAAATTAATTTAATAAAATTTAATGAAATTTAATAATACAGTAATCTAATCAAGGTAAGATAAAATATCCTTATTAAATTTGATATATTTTTTAGGTGATCATTGTTCATTAGGGTGTTTTTATTTAAAGAAAATATAAATATTTTCTGACAAACAAATAGGTATAAGTATATTGAAATATAGGGTTTCAGACTCGCGAAGCCGTTTATATTATAATTAATAGCGTCAACCTTTAAATAAGAAAAACGACCCCACTGCAGTTATTTCAATAAACAAATACGAAACTTAAGATATATAAATCTTGAAAACAGTGACACCTTCCTGCTTTTCTCATTCACTATTTATAAATATACCTTTTAATAAATTTTAACGATAAGGAATGGCGTAGTTTCTGTTTCCTGAGAATTTAATAAAATACTTTTCTCACCTCTGACAACTGGGTTTATTAAATTTTAATATACAATATACATATTAAAAAGTATAAATATATATAATAAATATTATGCTGATTGTAAATGGCATATTTACATAACATACTTAATTATTATAAATTATAGTAATAGTCTTCCGTGCCTATGTAAAATTAAAAGGTTTTGAAAAATATGGTAAAAACAAATTTTAAAATTATACCTTATACAACCTCAAGTACCAATTAATTAAGCTTAAGCTAACCTAGCCTAATTTTGGCCTGAACTAATAAAAATCCAATTAATAATGGTTGTATATACATATATACTAGTATTTAGCTATTTTATAACTAAAACTTTCCTTAAACATGTTTGTTGAGTACAGAGATGAACTCATGTTATATCGGTAGCGTATACGCTGTATATGTACATGAATTTTTGCATTCTCTGGATACGGTTTAATAAACCGGGTTTAAATCAAATTTTGAATTACACGTATAACGTATAACTGCTTTAACATTTTAGTTTATTAATTATCATTAACATTTTAGTTTATTAATTAGTAAATTTTTTATTTAAAAGAATATTTTTTTCGGCCAATTGACAAACATTTTTTATTTCTCTGGATTTATTGACAAACACTGTGCAACCGATGCTTTACAAAGCTTGTATAAATCAGAATTTACCAACCTATTAGCTCTCTTAAAATGTTTTTTCGACACGACAATTAGTCATTTTTGACTAATTAATTTTAAAAGAGAGCATCTTGAATGAAAAATATACAATACAATAAACCAGTTCTGAATTATATATTGTAAAAAACATTAGAAATAATTAAATTATTTACATTCATAAACGCATTTCCTTTAAAAATCATATTTTTAACCAAATTAAATAATTTTTTTGCTAAAATTAAATTACTGTAACAGGAACAATTTTGAATTATTTAAATTAATCTCAAAAACTGTTGTATAGCTATAGCTTCATCTATCTACTTTATTGTGTTAAAAATTTAACGTATGAAATGAAAATTGGTAAAATGGCACTTAAAATAACCGCGCGTGTCAAAAATATTTATTTTTGTTTCTGGCGCTTATACGAGAAGGATAATGTTTTTTTCATATTTAAGAAAATATATGATTATATCTTAAAAAAAATACAAATATATTTTTGTTTTGTTTTTATTAAATTCAACTATTATAATAATATTATATATTATATTATAATAATATTAGTTTACAAAATATTTGAAAAGTTTAAAACTTTTTCTGGTATGTTTCTTTCTCTTGTTTAACCCTAAATATAGTCTTCCTTTATATTATTATTATAGTGTGCATAATAATGGCCTGATAACATCATGTTGTTTTTAAATTTATTTAAATGAGCATGTAGTATATTGAGACAGGGTGAAGGAATATTTATTTTTTAAATACAATTTTAAATTAAACAATATTTATTTGGCACGACCGTTTACTGCAAGCGCACTTAAATTAATGACCAATTATTGTTATAGCCGTACGATTACCGGCGGTTCCTTTTATAAATTACATAAAACAATAAATCAAACACAAACTCATTATTAAGTAACGATTTAATACATAAATACTTTTTAAATTTGTAACACGGTCAACCCAGACGAAGCTACGCTCTGGAAGCACCTCTAATTGCTACGGAGAGCCCTCTGAAATACCAGGTTCCTCTGCATGATTAGCCGGAATCTCATCATCACTACGAGTATAAACAAGATAATAATAAAAAAAATGTAAGCCAGCGTTAACGCAAAGTATAATTTTAATGCAAAGCGCAATTTTTTTACCATTATAACATTTCAAAGTGCAAGACTTTCAACATTTAAATAGATTTATAAAATCAAATGCAAAGCGCAAGGCTTTTAACTTTGTAATAATGTAAAGCGCAAGGCTTTTAACGTTCAAACCGATTTATAAAAAGCCAATGTAAAGCGTATGGCTTTCAGCATTACATACCTCATTTAATTTTCCATTGGTTTCAGTAATTTTGAATTGAAAAAGTCAGGTACCAATCACTGGGCCAAAGTCTTGGCTGTTCTTTTGAAACTTTCATTATTAGCGTCTTTCCAACTTGCCTTAACTCAAAACGACCCTTGGAATTTGTCTTTTTCCTTGCTGCGGTGTATTTTCTTGTCTCTGTGAATTAGCAGAAAAACTTTAACTAAAACCTTAACAGTCCCGACGCTTTGTATTTATTTTGAGAGTCCAATCTTTCCCTTATGCGTTCCCTGTCTAAGCGCATATTTCTAATCGGGCGCAAATTAGAACTCAGGTTTCTCAGCAGGTTTTGGATTAGGGATGTAGCACCATCCATACCAATTAAATCTTGAAATGGATGGAGATATCTGCGTTGTTTTGTGCAGTATCAACTGAATTGTCCATAATACATTCGACCATTCTGACTGCATGACGGGGTCGATGCGAAACAGGTTCATAATGGTTTTTATGAAACACTCCACCTGTCCGTTAGACTGGTGTACATTCGGGGTTGTGTAGTGGTATGCGATTTCAAGTAAATTAAGATAGGCGGACATGCTCAGGTTTTTAAATTTCTTGCCAGCATCCATAATTATTTTCTTTCGAGTGCTAAATAAGGACACAAATAACCGGAACAATTTCATGGTTTCCTCAGTATGTACCGTTTTTAATGGTTGTAGAAAGCAGTATTTCGTAAACGCAACACACTGGACTAATAAATGCAGCATGTAACATGCTTAAAGCCTTTAGCAGTGGGTGTTAAAGAACCCAAACAGTCGGCATGTAGGACATTCATTGGTTCTTTTGCTTCAACATTCTATATAAATCCTTACAATGAACCAAAGCAAGTTTTCTTTGCTGCGCACAAAAGGCAATCTCTAATATAATTACGAATAAAGTTTCGCATTCGCGAACCAAAAATACATTTTAATAAACTCGACAGTTTTGTCGATACCGATATGGCATTGCTTATTATAAAAAATGCGAATAAGACTCGGCTTTGCTTTGGCACGAATGGTTTGGGCAAGGAATTCTCATTTTCTGAATCCTTATACTCGTACCTAACGTAAAACACCTTCTCCGTATTTCTGCATCGCTACGCTGCTCGTGTGATAAAGAACTTCTTTTGAGATAAGTGATGGGAAAGTCCTGCATGTACGCCCACCAGCAAGCTACTCGTGGTAAATTTTTTATTTTTTTTTTTGGTTGCAGTGGATTTGCGGATTTTCTCTTTTCAATTGCTTGACGAACAAAATCTCACTTTTTTATGAAAACTTGTTACTTTTTGACTGCACTGCCCTATTGGCCTAGATAAGTTGTGACAACATTGCTGTCGATGTAATTAATGTATCCAGCGATACAGTTTTTCCAAAATATATAAAAACAAATATGATCGCGAGCATCCGGTCTCCATATTTTTAATTGTTGACAATATAACATAAATACAAAATCTGTCAGATAACAGATTTTACGAACGATTTAGTATTATTATTATTATTATTAGAGAATTAGTTCTGTTTTTGGATTGGAAGGATTAACAGCCAGGAAGTTTTCCTTGCACCACTGTTCAACTATTTTGAGAGTCTATTGCATGAGATCGCAGAGGCTGCTCTTAATTTTATAATGTCTTTTATACATACTGTCAACAACTAAATTCTTCTTTTTCTATGAATACCCCCAGGGTGGACATTTTGTTGTCTATTAATTTTTTGAATACTCGCAGCCTTTTCAATGTTTTAGGAAGAACAGAGAAAAGGCTGACAGGTCTATAGCCTTTGGGGTTGGTGTAGTCCACTTGGCCTTGATATCCCTTTAGGCATCTGGAACATATTTGAGGGATAGGCATGCCCTAAATAGTCTCACCAAAAGAGTG